AGGCAGCAACACCACATGTCGCGCGATGGGAAGAAACACCAGCTCATGCTAATGCAACTGATGCTACGCCGTCTGTTAATAGGTTTGTTTCTTGTGAATATATCAATTTTTTTCTCAATGTTTTTCTATCCCCTTTAGGTTTGATTCAACCCCTTCTACTCAAACTCCGCGAAGAAATCGCTGGGATGAGACACCACGAGAAAGTGTACGTGATACAGGAGCTATGACTCCTGGATGGGGTATGGATACTCCTGCTCGCGGTACGGATGACGTTAAGGTTAGTATGAGCGTGCTTTTTGACTTAATCTTTTCTCTTATTATTGGTCTTTTTCGAAAGAGCTGGTTACTTCTAGGTGGAGGATACCCCGTCAGCCTCAAAACGTCGATCCCGATGGGATCTAACACCTTCGCAAACGCCGGCTGCAGGATCAGTTACACCACAACCTGGAGCAGTTACACCTTCGTTCACACCAAGCCATGGAGGCACACCTGTAAATCAATTTTTCTTGTTGGATTTGCCTCACTTATATGTCCTTGTCGAATTTCTAGGCTGGCGCACTGACACCAGGAGGAGCAACTCCTTTGGGAACTCCTGCAATGGGTATGAAAACTCCCATGGCACCGGTAGCTATGACTCCAGAACAGATGAAAAATTTCTTGTGGGAGAAAGAGCTTGATGATAGGAATCGTGCGCTTAGTGATGAGGAGCTAGACGCGCTGTTTCCACCGGGATACAAAGTGGGTCGAAAGCTTGCAGAGATACAATGAAAGTGCAGGGAGAATTGTCTTTATTGCAAACTTTCTAGATTCTTCCACCTCCGGCAGGTTACATGCCTTTGAGAACTCCAACACGTAAACTCATGGCTACTCCAACGCCTTTGGGTGGAATAGCTGCTGGCGGATTCTTTATGCAAGGCACCCCAGAGAGAGATGGACTTGGTGATAAAGGTGAGAATTGTTGGAAAAGTTCGTTGACTATCTTGTACTAGTAATATACAGATTTTGTTGCGGATAATGCCTTTATTCGTATGCTTAGGTGTGGGTGGTATCTTGGATACCCAACCGAAAAATCAGGATCTTCCACCCCTTAAGCCGGATGATATGCAGTACTTCGATAAGCTGTTGATGGATGTTGATGAAAGTAAGAAATA